CTGATTGGATCTGATCTGATCTGATTGGATCTGATCTGATCTGATTTGATCTGATCTGATCTGGTCTGGTCTGATCTGATTTTAATAAGAATAAGAAAAAATAAGTTGAACGGAACGGGGCCTTAAGCCGTTTGATACTTGATAGATTCCAGTGATACTGAGGAGTGGTTGGAAATGGAAATGCAATATTGAATCCTTTTCTAGAAGTTATCTCTAGTGCTTACGGAGTGAAAATTTTCAATTGATCACTTACCTTGTAGGTTTAGGAATATCACCAGTGCAATACATTTGGCTATCAGGTATCTGATTTTTGGGGAAGAGAAGTGATGAGCTATCTAAATTGCAAAATCATCGAAACTAATCAATCTTGTTAAAAGCTAATAGAGTCATGAAAATACCTGTGAGCTTCTATTCTTTTCTGGACTTGCACTTCAATGTAAGATAACAAAAAATGCTTCTCGTGAAAAATTAATATGAAGACAGTTTAGAAATTAAAGATCTGTTATGAATTTCATATATTTTGATTATAGATGACATAAGAATGATGATACTGGTGCCTCAAATATAAGAGTAATAAGGGGCTACTTACTCTTGTGTTCAATAAATGAAAACATCACACATCTTTTGGTGAAGATCTTCAAGACTGGCATTATGCAGACCTGCAGGTAAATGGGCCATAAATCAAAAGTGTGAACTTGAATCAGGATAGAGAATACCAATAATTGTGTAGGTCTGATTTATATTCATAATTTTTGTAAATTAAAATGGCAAAAGTGTGAACTTGAATCAGGATAGAGAATACCAATAATTGTGCATATAAGTCAAACAACATCAAACATTTAACACATTTCATACACAGTGCTCACAAATCAGACCTTAGAGATCATATTTTACCTCCAGATTCAGTTGCTAAACAAATAATAACTTTAAGGAACATGATTCGGCATGAATATTCAACCAAAATAGTGCAGATTTTTGTTCAAAAAACATCGACAAAACAGGTTACTTTACAACACGTGACAAAGACCAAAAACGCAAGCACATCAATATTCAATCTCATTTCCAACCAGCCACTCAAGCATAAAGACAAACATCTAGCTGTCTCTTTAAACAAAGTTGTGAATTTTGTAAAGCATTAGAGAAGTTAATTGAAGTAGTTGTCTCTCTAACGCATACGTGTAATTTTATGTTGTTCTAAATAAAAAAAATCATGTATGAAAAATCAAGGGCTCTCAACATTATCACATGGCACTCATCAAGATAAAGGTGAGTAACAAAGTGAAAATTAAATTATAATGGTTCACCCTTATGAGCTGATAAAGGCTTAAGGACCCTTTCTTCCCTTACACCAATATTAAAACACTAAGATAATTAAGAACTCTACGCAGCATATAAACAAATTTACTGAATAGATGAAAAATTTTGGACCTCCCAGGTTGAGGAGACAAAGAGATGGAGCCATGGAGGCTCGCAAGTCCACTTGTTCTCGCCGTATTGCTATCTCCGTAACCAACATTCCATCCATGATAGGTGTTTCAAATTTGTCTGTAGCCGAGCCCAAACACGGACACTATGGAGACCACAGAAGGTAATAAACCATATTTTATCCAAAATCCTCTACACGAACAAAAATGAAAGTGACCATATATTAGATAACGTATCAAAAATTCACTCACTTCAAGGTTTCCTTTAGAGCCACCCATTGCAAGCATATATGGGCAGTCATTAGAAAATGAAAGGGAAAAAAAGAGCTCCCCTGACCAAAAACATAGTAGTGGGTGAAGTACTGGTTTAAGCATATATACATTATCTGTTGTAAAAAGGTAAAACATTTCCCACTTTTTTTTAAAAAAAGAAGAAGATAATAATAACAATGATGATGATGATTATGATGACAAATGTAGATATACTGCTTTGGGATTCTTAGAAGCAATACATGAAGGTTGATTGTCAGACAAATCCCATAGTTTTACTTGCATTTGGTTGGTCTCCGTCAGTCTTAACAGAGACTGTTTGAGATGCTGAGAATTTCAAAAGAAGATGAGAGAGATGAATGTCGTTTTATCTAAACAACCTGTCGCAAGAAGCTACCAAGATTAACATAAATAAATTAGTTCATTAGGGAAGATGATGGATGACACTATGAAGCAGGGATGGAAAAAAGACAGGTAGACGTCTAAAAAAGGGAAGCTATATATATATATACATTTGGAACCAATGAATTGAAAGCAATGGAGCAAAGAGCTTTGTCTTGAACATGGAGGGTGAAACTTGGCTTCATATTAGGATCCACACCCGCCTCTAAAAGGATCTTTCCAAACACATATTTTAAAATTAAATTTAAAAATAAAAAGTTGAAATGCTCTTACACACCATATTAAGAGGACATTGATTCTCACATTGGCTAGTTGTTCCACATTCTCGTCTAATAACAACAAAAGAAGTTAACAATATAGCTACTCCGTACCCTTAAAAATTGCTACTTTGTATGCGGTACATAGTACCCCTCATAGTTCATTAAAAGTTTGTTGTGAGGATGAGTATGTGATGAGGGGGATGCCCCTCATCACAATAACGACAGTATAGACTTAGATGAAGAGACAATTGATTTGAGAAAAAACTGACAAAGGAATGCCCCCTTTTCCACGTTTCCCCTACTTTGAAAGAACATATAAGAGCAGTACATATTGCCATACTGTGATAAAATAAAAAGAAAAATGCAATTGTGCCCCTGGTGCATTTAGTAAATTAAATATACTATAGATATAAAATTAAATACGTAATTCAACATAACATAATATTTATGCCAATTCTCCATTTTATAACCATATCAATTACTTGAAACAGTCATTTTATAAACATATCAAAACTATGTTAAAATAAAAATATGGAGAAGTCATGCATGTTGCTCAAATTTCTCAATATGAATGCATGCCTTACTTTGGGAGCAACCTTTGGATTTACCTTTGCAGCCTTTTGGTTCTTTGTCCATCAACTTCTTCTCCAATGTTTACCTTTTATTCAAGTCTGAAAGCACTTGAAAATAAAAAAAAAATTGCAAATCAGAATTTTAACCTTAATTTACTATTTGTGATAGGACAATACAAAGAAGATTAACATGCCCCAGTGAAAGGATGACACAGAAAATTTGAGAAATGGTCCTCATTTTTTTAAACTAATTTTTCCATACGTTTCTACTGCATTTGGGTTTCAACCTGCGGGTTTTGGATATTTGATTCAATTTAATAATATGCTAATTTAAAAATTAATACTATTTTTGATTGAAAATCAAGAAAAACCTAACACATCAAATATGGATTGATTCAAAAAAATGGATCTAAACAAACCCTAAACTTATTTTGATATGAAGCTACAAAACTGATGAAATTAACATGAAATTGATATGGAGATATATAGGAGTAAAAATGGATAAATGGATTGAAACCTTAATTATGAAAAAAAAAACATAAGAAATTGATGAAATTTGAATCAACAGTACCCGTTGGGTCAAACTCGAGGAAGATGATGAAGCAACGACAGCCTCCACCTTCTCCTTCTTTCTCTACTTACAATGTGCCCTTCTCAATTTATTCTGATCGATTGAGTCTCTAAAATTCGTCCATCTCTGTTCGCGATGTTGCACCGCATCGAATTAAAAAGCCCTTTCCCGTAAGATGTGCATTAGTGATTAGTGGGTGGGTGACTGGTTGGTAGGGGTGAGTAAGTACCGAACTGATACCGAAATTTTCCAAAAAAACTGAGAATACTGAACCGAAAAATACCGAACCGAAAAAGTAACAAGAAGAAACCGAACCATACCGAACCAAATGGTCGGTACGGTATTCGAGGACGGTACGAGGTGACCTCTCATACCGAAAATCCCATACCGAACATATATATCAAAATATTATAAAAAAATAATACCCCAGGGTAATATTTTTATATTCCTTCACTAAATAATAATTTTTAGAAAAAAAATTGGTTCAAGTTCTATGATGTGTAAATTATAGTTTTATTTGAGTTTTAATTTTTTTGTATGAACATAAAAGTATTCCCAAAGATTCAAAATACTCCTTTGTTGTCATTCATTTTTTTAGTTTGTGAAATATAAACTAAGTTTTGATACGCATCTCTTGCATTTAAATATTCATTTTTTTAATTTTTCATATTTTTTTATATAAATTCACTTTTAATTTTCAATAATAAAGGGATACTGTTAAATTTTAACGTGTAAACTAGGTATATATATTTATCCCGATTTGTACCAAAACCGATACCGAACCATCCCGAACCATACCGAACCGATATTTCGGGATCGGGATCAGTACGGAGTAAAATCTCATACCGAACTGAAATATTTGGTACGGTATCGGTACGAGCTAAATACCGTACCATACCGTACTATGCTCACCCCTAGTGGTTGGGACTTGCGATTTTTCTTAGGGAACCGGCGTCGTATTGGTCATGCAGAATTGGGCTACAAATTTTTCCTCTGTTGTAAATAGGAGGATGCACAAAAAATTATGAACAAAATAGTTGTACAATAGAATAAAGAGCTGTTTGTTTCAGCCTCTTAATGATTCAAATGTCTGAATGGTTTAACACTTAATGGTTCAGACTGTTTGTTCCAGCCCTTAATGGTTCAGATGTCTGAATGGTTCAGACATTTGCCTCTGAATGGTTAAGTATTATACAGAGTCTGAATGGTTAAGACCTCTTATCTGAATTGATCAGACATTTGCCTCTGAATAGTTAAGCAATATACTAGCTCTTAATGGTTCAGACTTCTTACTGATTCAGCAGTTAATGATTCAGACCTCTTACTGATTCAGTACTTACTTATTCAGAAGTTGCCAAACAATCCCCAAGTACGAGAATGATTTTTAAAATATAATAATATTAAAAGTAATTACTCCCTCCGTCCCAAAAAGATTTACACCTTTCAAAAAAATTGTGTCCCACAATCTCCTTCTCATTTTTATTAAAAAACCACTTTTACCCCTTACTTTTTCAAACTCTACCTATCACATCATACCTTTTTCTTAATAATCTGCATATCACATTCTATTTTTACCCATCATATCAAGGGTATTTTTGGAAAGTCAACACAAAATTATCCCTCCCTTAATTTCTATTTTAGTCAAAATGGGTAACACTTTATGGGACGGAGGGAGTATAAAACTACCCCAACACCGAAACCAAAACCCTTCATTGCCCATGTATATTACTTCCTCCGTCTTAAAATTAATTTCTCATTTTGACTTTTGCAGTCAAATTTTTTAAACTTTGACTGCATATTACGAAAAAATATATTGAATTTTTACATAAATTTAGTATCATCAGATTCATTTTGAAACATAGTTTTGAAATATATTATTTTGATAATATATATTCATATAAAAATGGAGATATTAATGGTCAAAGTGCCGTATTGGAGACCGTGAAAAGTCAAATGAGAAGTTAATTTTAGGACGGAGGGAGTATAATCTTCTAAACCTAATGATGAACAATAAGTTAAGCTACGCATCTTGAATCCAAACTTGAATAAACTTCCTCATTAATCTTCCCGAACAGACTCCCTACTACTCAAACAAAGAGAGTTCTATACATTTTAGTGAAGTTTTGCTCTAAGCAGCACAAAAACTTAACATTTTTTCACAAATGACACCGAATAAGTTTTTTTTTGTAAAAAATAACATTAAATTAATTAATTATTAATAATATCCACTTACTATAATGTCCCTGTATCTTTTTTCTCCCTTTGACAAATTAGCAGGCTGTTGATACAATTTAGGATGTGGTATTGATAACTGGATTCGGCAATAAGATACTTGAACTAAACCACATTAAGAGATTGAATCCAATCAATTAGTTAGTTCAACTCAAGAGCTTATATACCACTTATTTTACTCTCGAACTTCCGATGTGGGATGCACTTTAATACTCCTCCTCAAGTGGACAACCAGGCCATTTTGAATCTAACCAGTGGACCACTTGCAAATGAACTCCCATTTCGTTAATTTTTTTTAGCGCCAACACCTAAAGGACCACGAGCCGCTGGATATGGACTTTCAGACGAGCAATCGTGTTAAACGGGCCACAGGCCGTTGGTTACATATTCCATACGCACAACTAGGCTAAAAACTAAAGGGCCGCTAGGAATGAACATCTAGACAGACATCAATCTTAACAAACGAGGTGTGCCCAAACCTAGTTCGGTACCATGATAAAATTTTAGAACTGAACGCCTTGACTGCATTTATACCATAAACCCCTATATATAGTACAAGAGTTACCAAATATAAACAAGGAAATACAATCCTACAAGGAAACCGATTAGAACTAAATATGTACAAATATATTCCAATAGTTGTTAGACATGACCTTAGACTTTTGGCTCTTACTGAGAATTTAACCTTGGATAAGAGTCTTTGAAGAGGCATTTGGATCAGGTGGTAATTTATATCTTGTTAATGTCTCTTTTATATGCTTGATGTTGTTTTATTCTATCTTTAGCTTGTTCCATACTTCTTTTTGAACTTTAAGTATGGATTAGTTCTGCACACACACTCTCTTCGGACCATACTATTAAGAATAAATATCAGGAAGAAAAAATAAATAAAACGGAATGCAAAATATGTTGGAAGAAACTGAAATAAAAGGAGAGAATCGCAATTTTTAGCAAAGCCATGAGTATCAGATTGTCCAACAAAAGAAGAGAAGAATGTCTTTAACCAGCCAGAACAGAACAAAAAAGAGAGTAGTCATTAAATATAAGCTTTGCCACAGTTTGAGAATCTTTTTCAAAACAGATTCGCAGTGCCAAAGCCAAGCTTGGATCAAAATATATGTGCCTTGAACCTCTTTGCACAGGCACACACAATGGTCCCCAAACCAATTGTTATATCAAACCGTCAACTTAGAGTAAGAGCGACATCGTAATATTAACAAAAAAAAAACTGCTTGCCAAATAATTATGTAAAGAGGCATCACACATAATCATATATCCTCATCATCCTCATCGTCTGAAAGCCACATGCCGACAAAATAACCTCCACCGCTGCCATTAAACTGCCGGTTTTCCAGAACCTTAGCCAAGTCAAACGCTTGAGCATCCCCCATATCTCCCAGTTCTCTTAGCTTTTTCTGCAACGTGTAATAATGATATATAATTTAAGGACCTCAAACATTACTAAAATTCTTTCTAAATCACTTGCAGAGCAGTGATAAAGTTGGGATTTTGTTCATATATTTGAATGCAATTTAAAAACCAATTGTTAAAATAATCTGATTGATGTCACAGTACTAGTGAACTACTTTAATATCAATCCAATTAGTTTACCAAATACACTTTATATTGCACAAAAGTATATGAGCAAAAAGCAAACTTGGTCACTGTACCAAAGCATGAGAGAGAGAGAGAGAATTTTTATTTCAAAACCACAAAGTAAAAACTTTACTACAAACGTCTTCATTGCATCTGTAGTTACACCTGCAGACTTCCCAAAAATGATGAGCTTCACAGATCCGCTTCCGTAGTCTGTTAGCCGAACTTCAAATTCAGAATCCGATGGGCCACGGATATTGTTTATAAACTTGCCCTCTTCACGAGTCAAGAGATCGGCATGATCCAGTCGAAGAAACACAAGAAGGAATGGCTGAAAATTTTATGATATAACATCAGCACAAATAAAGCTCTTGCAACCTCAATACATGTATACAAGAGAGAGAGAGAGAGAGAGAGAGAGAGAGAGAAAGAGAGAGAGAGAGAGAGAGAGAGAGAGAGAGAGGATCAGTGCTAAAAAAGGCTAAAAACTAGAAACCATAGAAGAAACTTTAACCTTGCTGAGCAAAAGATAATCTAGAGACATCATCTCTTTTCCATCTTCATATGACGCCATAATCTTTTGCTTTCTTCCATAGACATACAATTTATGAGTTAATCCAGTAGATGGGAGGTTGCGCATCTGAACACAACGAGTTGATCTGAGTCAATTGTGCAAACAAATCAGATTTTCTCGAAAGGCAAAAGGATCTTACTCTCATTTCCATGGATTGTATGAGACTTTTGGGATATTGGAACTCTTCATAAACACAAGAAAGCATTGCCACAAGTACCCTACATACGTCACGATGCTCGCCTCCTACATCAATAATCATATCTTCCTGGCCCCTATCACATGATGGATAACCTACAAAAAATACAAAAAAAAAAAACTTCAAGAGAATAGTCTAAACAGTTTAGGAATTTCAAATCTTGACGGTGCGTATGATGGGACAAATCACAATGAATAAAATAGGTACATGCATATAATAAAAGTGTTCCACGGGCATTCAAAAAACCATGTTGTACTAATCTTCAAATACACAAGAGATGGCAGAGAGACAGAGAAAGAAAACCTGAAGTATAGATATTGATAATGCAATGTTGGGCAACAACAAGCCTTTGAATCTTTTGCCGGTTTAGAAGGTATAATACTTCTAACTCAAAAAAAAGCAGCCGCGCTTTGACCTTGTCTTGATTTGAAGTTTGAGAAACGTCTGGAATGCCATATAATTGGTTAACAATATCACTAATGCCAACAACAGACTTTGTGTCCAGTGTGTTTGCCTCCACAGCCACCATAACCTATCAAAAGAAGAAGCTAACGTCAACTAAAAACAAATAAACAATATTACAGATGAGACAAGGGCACACACGAGGCACGTGTAACAGAATCTAACACAGAATTCAGGGACTACGAATAGCAACTGAAAAGGTAAGGTTGATGGAGAATCACACACAACCCAGGCAGATAGACATGAACGAACTATCAAGAACAGGAAAACACAAGCAAAGGAACTGCAGATAGCTAAACTGCCAAGTCACAACATATACTTCGTTCAATATCAAGTGAAACTCAACAAAATACTCCCTAAACTAAACTTTAAACATCAATAGCATGTCATGTTGTTCGCAAAAAAGGAGAAATAAGCACATAGTTATTGACATTATCATCAGTCACGCAAGTATAGATTCCACTCTGAAGAGTGACCTAGCACCCACCCCCAACCCAATGAAAACAACCCCACAAATTAATGCTTACCATGCATCTATATCCATCATTCCATCACCTACTATCATCTATGTAAGGAAAAACTCAATACACAATTCATAAAATGAGGAGAAGGAATCATAAATCAGGGGAGCAACCGGGATACACTGCTAAATAAGTCGCGCACTAAAATTCCTGCAAAAAAGTTGCATGTCAGAAAACAAACTAAAGGGTTCTCATTAAAAACAAAGACTTATATATGACAACAATGCAATGCAAGAATCCCATCAACATTGTCAAATACGGAGCAAATGTTTTTTTTCTCTCACGCAACCCACATTTATATTACACACTTGACACAGAGAGAAAAATACATGTGAGGATTTGAAATCGCACAAGAGGGGAGGCACATGAGAGGTATATTACACTAACCAAATTCAGAATGCAGGTTGACATGTAATATTTAAAAAAAAACAACTTTTACTTACAAATGTGGGGGGGCCCTCAAAAAATGCTATCAGTGAGTTCTTCTCCTCATTATAATCATTCTTTAAGGATTCTACTAGTGACCTAAACTTCTCCTTGTCATCATTGCCTACCATGAATCTATAAACAGCCCACTTTAGACCTCGCTCCAATGTAAGCCTCTCATTCATTCTTCGAAGAATACGCTCGTCCTCCTTTTCATCAAGCATTGGGAAATGGATCTTAGGCAGCTCTTCATCAGTCTCTGACTCATCATCAGTCTCTACCATGGACGACTCTTTATCAATCTCTGCAATCTGCTCTTCAGCCTCTACAATGGACTCTTCAACAAGCTCTTCAATATTAAATAAAAAAAAAGCCATCGGAATAAACAGGGGGTCTCCAATCTCCATAAATAAGCGGCGAAACAAAACTTTCTACAACTGACATGATAACATACTTGCATGTAAAAATCTTAGGATCGAGCAAAAAGCAAACAATTTTTTAAGGTATATAAGGCCAGAACAGATAGATGTTCATATACGGTATGGTCTGTGAAAATATGTAAAAACAAAGACAAACCATAACCCCTCCTGAGCTTCTTGGAGCAAGGGTCGGCAACAATAAGGGGTCTACTACTTCTCTTCTCACGGCGGCCAATTTCTTGGATCAAGGGTCGGCAACAATCTCCCATTTTTTTCTTGTCTGAAACGCACGCAGACAAACGTTGAGTCGCCTCAGATATTTTATCCCTAGCCTTTTTCTACGACGATCGATGGAGGTAAAAGTGGGGGGTGGGGGTTCTACCCATTTCTTTTTCTTTTTCTTTTTTTTTTGGGCGAAAAGCCCAAGAACATAGTACATATTTTGAATTTTAAATGCCATTAAGAGCATGAGTCCGACGGATCCCCGCGTAACTCTTTTAACTTTAAATGCTGTTTCAACTTTTTAGTATTGCAACAAATAAATGTGTTTTGGGCCTTTTTTAATCCATGTGGTAAAGTGTAGGCCTGGGTTTGCTTTAGCGAGGACCATAATACAGACTCAGATTGAAACGATACATCAAAGATAAATTGAGATTGAGACCTGAAAAAATATGATCGAAGTAGGCTTTGATACTCCTCCGATCTTTGATCGGCACTCTCAAGTCTCATTTGCTCATTGGTTTTTTATGAAAGGCTCGATTCATCTTGGATTTGATAGTCTTTTTTGAAAAAACTAGACCAGACCAGATTAATACTAGAGATGTAATGTATTTGGAATACAATTTTTATACATATATATTTATATTTTAAAATTAAATTTTTATATAAATGTGTTTATCCTATGAATGTAGAGCGTAATAATTTACATTATTTTTTATAAATTTACAAATAAGTTATAACAAAATAAAAAATCTCATATTTATAAAACATACACATTAACATTTATTTTTTGTTGATTCTACCCAACTTCAACCTCACATAATGATAATCATGTTATGTAGTTATTATAAGTCAATAAAGTATATGAATAAAAGAAATTAAATAATTAAAAATAAGATTTATTTATTTTTTACACGTATTTTTTTAGAGCAAAAAATTAAATACTTTACGTATTAAGGACCGCACTAGACATAGACCCGTAATAAATTCTAACCGGGCTACTCGATCTTGAAAAGTCTTTATTTTTTATGAAGAGTAGGCTAGTCTAAATCGATTTACTCTCTCTGTCCTAAAATTAATTCCCTAGTTTGTTTTTGGTAGTCAGATTTTTTGAACTTTGACTATATGTTACAAGAAAATACAATAGATTTTCATAGAAATTTAATATGAATAGATTCATTTTGAAAAATAGTTTTAAAATATATTGTTTTTATAATATATTTTTATATATAAATAGAAATATTAATGGTTAAATGTTATATTGGAGACCGTGAAAAGCGAAATGAGAAGTTAATTTTAGGGAAGAGGGAGTAAAAATTTGAATAGATCATGTTCTAAATAGTACATGTCCTTTTAAGGGATCGATCCAGTCTGACTCGTCTGATCCTTTAGCTCATCTCTAGTTTCCTTCACTTACACTATGGCTTTGCAATTTCGAGCCTCCCTTCATTTTTGATTAAGTCTATGGTATATGATGGAGGCTGACTCCACATCACCATACAACCCCATATTGGGTCCACATTTGGCTCCATCAAGAGGATGCCTACGAGGTGGGGGCGTGACCTTGGCTTGGCACAACCGAGGTGGAGCCCTCGGCTTGGGAAAGAGGCCAGGCAATTAGTTTCAACTCTAATCACGTGAATCTACCCTCTAGGGACCATGTGTACAACCATAAGGAACCAATGGCTAGCGACAGGGGCTAGATGACAGAGGAACATCATATCATGGGCGACCAAACAATTCCCCAGGTCTACGACAATAGCTAGATGATAAATAAATGTCAATCACGTACGGTTATTAGCCTTGTAACGAACATAACTATAAACACTCGTTCATTATGCATTATAAGGGGATCGAATCCTAAACTAATAATACTCATACTCTTCCACTCACTCTCTCTTAATTTTTTTTCTTTGCTTACTCATCTCACCTGACCCCATGGTCGGCCTACTCGGTAGTTTATTACCATCAAAATGGTGCTCTTGTTAAGAGGAGAGAACATACTCAAAGGCTAGCTCCCTAGAACAAAAATGGTGCAGACCAGGACCCTAGGAGCAACAACATCCCATGCCAGCCACTATCCACATCCATGGCGAAGGGAACGACCAAGCCAACGGCAACAGAAACCATACCACCGCTATCACCTTGGCTTCCGATATGGTCGAGGCACTGTTCGTGATGAGAGTGACCCCACAGTAGCTCCAAGTTACCGTTATCGCGCTCTCTGTAATGGGCGGGAGCTTGCACGGCACTGGAGCCACATAGGACCCCCGACACTGAACACCCTGCCACTTTTGAGGCCAAGGGGAAGAAGACCCAAATGAGTTGGAGGGGACCCCACAAGGCCCTAGTGGTGGAGGATGTTATCGCAGAAGATATCCTAGAAGAGGGAGACGAAGATTCTTGTAGAGGTCGGGTGTCGGCCTTCAAAAGGATGGGGGATAGGAGGTCTGCATCTTCGCCTTCAACCGACTCAATCAAGGACGTTCTACTCACCAGGATGATTTGCATCGCCTCATCTCAAAAGGAAGACGAATGCACACTAGGAGCCGAGCACCTCATATGCACATTCGGACCGTCAACCTGACCGCAACAACGGTCGTTGGGATGGGTGGACGCAGAATTGGCAGGGTGGAGATAAAGAAGGGATGCATTGGAGCTCCATGAGGCTCAGAAAGACTAACACCACAGAATATGGCATGTTCAATCTCGTGAGAAAAGTGGCCAAGCTCAAACGAAGGGTGGAGACCAAATCACCCTACGGCCAGCCGATCCTAAGGACGGTTACCCCCTTCACACCTTTGGTCATGTTAGTACTGTTACCGGCTAATTTCCACTTGTGACATGTTAAGGTGTACAATGGGACGACTTACCGGGTTCCCGAGATACTTCATCAAAGCTGAGGGAATCATCTCGTGATAAATGCGAATGATGCCCACAATGTTATGTTGAATATGAAATGCATGGTGGTGAGCTTAAATTGCGAACACAACATGATCCTTGGATGTCCTTGTCTTGAGGACTTGGAATGTGTCATCTCTCTGTACTACCTGTGCATGAAGTTCTCCACCCCCTTCGGAATCAAGGTGGCAAGGGGGAACAAGAGACTCGCCCGCTCCTGCTATGTTCAGATCACAAGCGGGTTGAGACACTAGTTGTAGACACCCGTGATTAAATCGGGGAGCAAGAGGCATGGCTGAAAGTAGAACTAGTGGAGGAAGTACCTATTGACCTACGAGTGCCCGAGCAGAAAGTAGAGATCAGGGTGGGGTTAGGAGAGAGCTTACACAGGCAGTTGATGGTTGTATTCTCGATGCTCAGTGCAATCTTCGCATTTGGACTCAACGACATATTTAGGGTAGACCCCAAAATCATATGTCACCGACTCATGATCAACCCAGAGTCCAAGATGGTAAAACAGAAGAAGTAGTTCCTCTCATCCGAACGGAGGGTCTTTGTTGCCAAGGTGGGGACTCTTCAGAGTATTGGTCGCATCCGAGAGGTCAAGTATATAGAGTGGATGGATAACATGGTGTTGGCACCCAAGGGGGTGACCTAGAGGATGTGTGTGGATTACATCGACCTCAATAAGGCGTATCCCATGGATCCATTCCCACTCTCGAACATCGATTAAGGGGTGGACAAGACCGCTACATGCGAGCTAATCAGTTTCATGGATTGTTTCAGCGGGTACCACCAGATCAGGATGCACTCGAATGACGATGAGAAGACGTCATTCCAATTATAGCCACATGAATCCACTGTCTTATGACACAGGTGTACAACTATAAGGCTCCAACGGCTAATGACAAGGACTAGACGACATAGGAACATCACGGGCGACCAAACAATTTGATACGGACTACGTATCGGGATAGGGAAGACTCAGAGCGTCTTCGAGCTCTTGAGAATATGGGACGAGGAAGAAGAAGAAGAATTGAGGCGAAGGAGAGAATCGGCGAACCGAGGGAGGAAGGGAATTAGGGTTTGAGTTGTTTATTGATTGAATATTCTAAAGGGGTTACATCTCTATATATAGGGAATAGGGAAACCCTAACGCTAACCTAACGGTTCAATAAAAGCGACGAGGAAAAGAACCGTAAAGAAACCTCGAAGGAGCTTATAATTCCGCTCACCTAANAATTTGATACGGACTACGTATCGGGATAGGGAAGACTCAGAGCGTCTTCGAGCTCTTGAGAATATGGGACGAGGAAGAAGAAGAAGAATTGAGGCGAAGGAGAGAATCGGCGAACCGAGGGAGGAAGGGAATTAGGGTTTGAGTTGTTTATTGATTGAATATTCTAAAGGGGTTACATCTCTATATATAGGGAATAGGGAAACCCTAACGCTAACCTAACGGTTCAATAAAAGCGACGAGGAAAAGAACCGTAAAGAAACCTCGAAGGAGCTTATAATTCCGCTCACCTAATAAAACCTAAATTACAACAACAACAACAACAACAACAACAATAATAATAATAATAATAATAGTAATAAATATCCTACTCTACTATCCATAATACTCTCACCCCCTTACAAAACCACCTTGTCCTCAAGGTGGAGGCTCCCACTCATGCTTCTGGACTGCAGAGAAAATGTTGACCCAAAGATTTTGGTCACTTGATGACATGATCATAACTACACGCGGCAGGATCCGGTACCCAAACTCAATTATATTAGCATGGCTAGAATTCTCGATGATATCCAATGACTGTGAGTTGTCCGCTTGCACAAAATTTGCATCAACTACATGGGCTGTTTTGGACAGAGGCATAGAGCTATATGCAATGATGACATTGCTCAATGTTTGAGCCTTTACAGCTTCTCCATTACCTAATGCAGCTACGGGGGTATCAACAGCTACGAGATCGGACGGAAAGGCATGAACAACAGCTTCAACAGAAACATCATTATCATCAACTTCGGAAACACTCATTGAATCAACAATAATGCGCTCAACAGATTCCATACTACAAGATGTGTGGTTGTGTAAAATGGTTGTAGGGGCCATATCTACTGGAGCAAGTGGAGCACCGAGAAGATTCCTTATAGCGTTCATCATCTTTGTTTTGAAACTTGCTAACTCCAAGGGAATTTGACTTAATGCAATGGGAGGGCCACGAACTAAATCTTGTATCGAACAAGAGGCTTCCACATTGAACCATATAACTCAGAATCAGAATACGGTAGATCTAAAAGATGACGAAATAAGTGGAACGTCTTCAAAATTTCATCCACGTGATCATAAGCTATACAGACACCTTCGTGAAACTCAGCTCTTCCATAAAAGATATTCTTCAACACACCAAGAAGTTTGTTTAAAGCATCGTCCATGGTCACAATAATTTTATCCAAAATCGAGACCATAGTTGGAGCAAGAGGGATAGCCACCCTAATTGCAAAAAAGAATTGTAACAAAATACTTCGTATATGCCTAAAGTTAGGTCCCCTGCCAAATCTACACGGCAAAGGCCAAGATCCCCCCCAAAAAATATATATGCAGCACTACTTGTTTCTTGTGATGCTTGGCCCTAATATCAATTACCAAGAAATAATATGGGTGGCACCAAAGAGCCGACAGATTTGCAGGCGAGGCAACAACAACACTCCGTTTCTTTAAAAGCAAAAGCAACCCTGCTAGCAAATTGGAGCACGACGGCTATGAAGTGCTCTGCGGATCTTAGGAATATTTCTGCGAAACAATTAATCCGGCGGCGACAAAGGCAATTCCTGGATTATGTGATCGGCAAGAAGGCTTGGATCTGCGGCTGATTGTGAGCGGTTGTGTAGCGATTGGGATTTTTTTTTGTTTTTTTTCTTTTTAGAATTCCTCTCAACGAGAGCACCAATGATACGGACTACGTATCGGGATAGGGAAGACTCAGAGCGTCTTCGAGCTCTTGAGAATATGGGACGAGGAAGAAGAAGAAGAATTGAGGCGAAGGAGAGAATCGGCGAACCGAGGGAGGAAGGGAATTAGGGTTTGAGTTGTTTATTGATTGAATATTCTAAATGGGTTACATCTCTATATATAGGGAATAGGGAAACCCTAACGCTAACCTAACGGTTCAATAAAAGCGACGAGGAAAAGAACCGTAAAGAAACCTCGAAGGAGCTTATAATTCCGCTCACCTAATAAAACCTAAATTACAATAATAATAATAATAATAATAATAATAATAATAGTAATAGTAATAAATATCCTACTCTACTATCCATAACACAATTTCCTAGGTCCATGACAATAGCTAGACAACAAACAAGTACTCCCTCCGTTTCTTAAAATACTTCCTCTTTCATTTTTTTTTGTTTTTCTTAAAACACTTCCCTTTTCTATTAAAAAATCACTTTTACCCCTACTTTTTCATACCCTACCTATCACATCATACTTTTTTCACTAACAACTAAACTATCACATCTTACTTTTACCAATCACATCAAGGGCAAAATTAGAAAGTCAATTACAATTTAACACTTCCTTATTTCCCCCCAAAGTCAAAAAATGAACTCTTTTGAAAAACGGAGGGAGTATCAATCACGGTTATTACCGTGGTAATGAGTAAAACTGTACTATAAATACTTCTTTGTTGTGTATTGTAAGGGGGTCCAATCCTAAGCTAATAATACTCTTACTTTTACACTCTCTATTTCATTTTCTTTCCTTACTCATCTCACCCACCCCACAGTCGGCCTACTCAATGGTTTATTAGCATCAGGATAATTTTGAATTAAGATTAAAAAAACATTTCCCCTTTCTTTTTTTATCCGTCCCGCAAAATACTTCTTATTTCTATTAAAAAGTCACTTTTACCCCTTACTTTTTCATACCCTAACTATCACATCATACATTTTTACTAATAATCTATCCATCAAATCATACTTTTATCCATCACATCAAAGGACATTTTTGGAAATTCAATACCAAAATACACTCCCTTAAATCTCTCCAAAAAAGCAAATGTCCCATGTTTCACGGGACGGAGGGAGTATTATTTAAAATAATTAATGATACAAAAATCACCAATAATTACTTCTTTAATTTGAATTTCTATCTTTTTATGTTTTTGATTTTTAAGATTTTGTCAAGTCTTGAAAACTAAATGAGACATTTCAAAACTAAATTAATAGTTTTTTATCATAACATATCCTTTCTTTTTTATCACTTTTTACACACTCTTTTCTTCAATCCTACTCATTTTTACCTTTTTCGCACTCTTTAAAAAATAATCCCACTTTTCATTGTCACTAGAAATAATCCCGCCTTTTTGCATTTGTGCGAGTTTTGGATCGCCGTTAAAAAACTAATAGTCACTTAACAGAATCTTGGAAAAATACTTGTTTTTTTTCAAATAAATGAAAGGTAAGATTATTTTAGGTAATTTCATAAATTTCTAACTTTAAATTTAAATGTATTTTTAAATTTTTTTGGAAAAATAATGCCAAATTTAAGTGTTTTTTTAAAAGTGAAACTATTTATTTTTTTCAATAATTGATAATCTGGTAATAATAAAAAAATAAATTATTCTACAGAGTAAAACTAATTTTTTTACTTCATAACTCACTACATTTTTTTTGTTAGTTGCAATTATTATTCTTGAGCGGCAACTCGAATTGTTTTTTATACTATATTATTATTATTTCTTAAAAATGGCACTACGAACTCGTAAATATTTTTTGACAGACGTTTAAGAAATATTGGTTACATCAAAGTTTATTTATACCAAATACCTTAAAAGTGTATTTATACCAAATACTCCGTACCAAATACCTTTGGTATAAATATTGGTTACATCAAAGTTTATTAAATCTTAATTACATCACCTAGGTTTCCATGACATTGGGTTCCAATGTCATGGGATGACCTGGAGACGCTCTGGTATCCCGTTCGTAAAATTGACGATTCATTCCTCATAGTAACACATTATGAATGGTAGTCTTTTATTGTGTTTTCTACACCAACATAGTGTGTCATGGTTGTATTTCGTAAAATTACGTATACCAACCGGGAAACCGAACAAAACATTGTAAAAAGGATAAAGCTATTTCCTAGTTGTATCCCAACTTGTGTACCCCACTTTGTATCCCACAAGTTTGCACCAACACTTTGTGTTGGAGTAAAATTAATTTTTGTTAATGTACCAACACTTTGTGTTCGTGTAAATTTTTGTTAACACGCCAACACCTGTATCGGTGTAAACCATCAAAATGTTTGTATATAGATGCGGTATACAAATGAAGTACAATTTGTGGTGTAAGTGTAGCATGGCCCTCGTAAAAATCATCACAAAACGCAATATAACAAGCAACATCACACACATCATATAAAAGTAGAATTGAAAAGGTTAGTTTTTTGAGATTTTCTTAAAAATAAATGAAGACTATTCCAAATCTAGATCTATATAATTCAGATCAAACATATGCCAATAATAATAATAATAATAATAATAATAATAATAATAATAATAATAATAATAAGTACTCCCTTCCTCTCAAAGTATTTGTCCACTTTTGTCTGTTTTCAGTCAAAATTGGTAAACTTTGATCCCAAATTAGATAAAAATGATATTAGATATTGATACAAGAATATTTTTTTAGATTTATTTTATAAAATATTTTTAAAATATTGTTTATCTAATTAAAATATAATATATATTTTTTGTTTAATTATAGATCAAATATTGAAAATGGTTGATTGAAAAAAGTCAAAACTAGACTAATAATCTAAGATGGAAGTAGTATTATTTAATCATGTGTACACTTATTATTATTATTATTATTATTATTATTATTTAATTGTATATAACATTATGCTTTTTTATTATACTGTAATATTAATTAATATTAAATTACACGCAACATAAAATAATGTAACATAGGATTTATTCTAATCCAATCTGATTGAATTTTTTTAGATGTGATCTGGGATGACTTAATTGAATAGAAATAACTTTAAATAGGACTAAAACATAGAGAAAAGTATAAACATATGACTTCTATGTTTTTTCCCAAAATATGACTTTGCACTGTGGTAATATGACTTTGCCCTATTGTAATGTGGCAGTGTACATGTGCAAATTACTAAACTTTTTTGGTAATGTATATGACCATGTATGGTAATGTAAGTCCTATTTCGGGAATAAAAACATGGAAGTCCTATTTTGGTATATTTTCAATGTTTTAGTCCTACTTTGGTCTTTCTCCCTTAATTGAATTTGATCAATTCTGATCTGATTCTAATAAGAATAAGGGACTGTTTGTTTCAGCCTCTTAATGGTTCAGATGTGTGAATGGTTCGAGATTTAATAGTTCAGACTGTTTGTTTCAGCCTCTTAATAGTTCAGATGTCTGAATGGTTCAGACATTTACCTCTGAATGGTTAACACCTCTTATCTGAATTGTTCAGACATTTGCCTCTAAATAGTTAAGCAATATACTAGCGCTTAATGATCCAAACCTCTTACTGATTCAGCACTTACCTATTTCGAAGTTGCCAAACAGCCCCTAAGTAATAATTGAATAAAATTGATACTTATCTTAGCTACCTTAGAGCATCCCCAATGGGGATTCTAAAACTACAAAATATAATATGTAATAAAAAGATTTTCCTTTGTCATAATTTATCCAATTTAAAATAAAAGGGAAAAATTATCTCAAATAATATCATCTTCTTACGTTTTTCAAAAATAATCATACTTTTTACTCTCATCGAAAATAATCTTACCTTATGTGTGCGAGTTAACTAACAATCAATTGGTAACGCAGTTTTGAAAAATGCATGTTTTGCCAATAAATGAAAATTGATTGTTTTTGGCAAATTTAATTTTTTTAATTCTAGTTTAAAATTTCTATTTTTAAAATAAACAACATATTCTTGTTAGAGACTTGTCTTAATTTTTTTTTAAAATATAAACTATTACAAATTTTGTTTAATGTTCGGGGGGAAATGTAATACTGGATTATAAAAAAATAATTTAGAGCATTGCTTGAAAAAAAATTGTAATACAAATAATTGTAGTGTGTTATAAAATTAATTAGTGTCATCTTGGAGGAAAGAAATATTCTTCTATTTTCACAACTTTTAAATTATTATTCTAAATTATCGAAAAGAATCATAAGTTGGATAGTTCCATTCTAGAAAAAATGATATTGGTAATAAAAAATTATCAATCAACATTTCCGAGTGTTATTTATGAAAAAATTGTAATATAACAAAAAATGTAGTGCGTCATAAAATTGAAAGTTCTATTTAAGAGAAAAACTATTGTATCGTTTTAACTGTTATAATGTTGTTTTGAAAAAAAAAATTATATAGAGTTATCGAAAAATATTACAAATTTTATAGTAAAATATAATAGTAGTATGATATCAAAAAATAATTCGAGGTGTCGCTCAAGAAAAATAATTACAACTTACAAAAACAATAATAAGTTATGAAGTAAATAAATTAGCTATATTATGTAGAATAGTTTATTATTCAATTATTATAAATTAGCGATTATTAAAAAAACAAATAGTTATCATGAGAATGAGAAAGAAAAGAAATTAGGGAGTATTTAACAAAACTTTCCGATAACAAAAGTCAAACTAGAGATATAAGATTTCCTAAATTTTAAGCATTAGGGTTCGTCTTATACGGAGCAGCATATATGTAATTATATGATTGGTTTGGCTCAGATATTTCTATCTAGCCGAATTTATATTCAATTCGTATTCTCGAGCTATTTATTGATTATGTTGGTGAGTGAATTTTTTTGTCTTTAAAAGCTTTATCTTTTGGTAAAATTTGGTTTGTGTTTATTATTGTTGGATGTCTCTCCTCTTTTGCTTTCACGAAAAATGCAGAAACAAATTGAAGCCGGCAGTATGGATTGTGATGTGGAAAAGAAAGTTGGAGGCGGCGGTGAAAAGAGAAGCGGATCCCCTGTTGTTGCCGACCCTGCTGCCTCCAAGAAGAAGCACAGGAGCGGTTTGTCTCTACTCTTACTTCTTTTCACAAGCCTTCAAATAGTCTGGTTTTTGCTTGATCCTAAAATCTCTAGATGCAAGTTTACTTCTTTTTGTTAGTACTTCTTCCCGTTCATGTTGAATGGGGGTGCTGGTTACTTATGGAGTTCCACCCTTTTTTTGTGATGTTTTCATAGAGCTTGTTGAAGAGTCCATTGTAGAGACGGAGACTGATGAAGAGTCTCAGATTGACGAAGAGCCTATGACCCGTTTTCCACTGCTGCCTGATGATGAAGAGGAGATGAAGCTTCTTCTTCAAAGAGTGAATGAGAAACGTAACTTGCAGCGAGGTCTAAAGTGGACTGTTTATAGATTCATGGTACACGAGGATGACAAGGAGAAGTTCATATCCTTAGTGGAATCCTTAAACAAGGATTATAACAAGGAGAATAACTCACTGATAGAATATTTTGAGGGTCCCCCGAAATGTGTGAGTAAAAGTTGTTTTCTTCCCGGTTGCATGTCAACGTGAAACATGAATCTTGGTAGTTAAATAGTTTTCAAGTGCCTTCCATCTTGGTTATAGTCTTTTTCTTTTTTTAGACCAGTTTGTGAATTCAAATTCTCACATGCATTTTCTCTTTGTAAATGTGTTATGTAAATATGGGTTGCATGAGCAAAAACATTTACTTCGTATTTGACATTGTTGCTTGTTTATTACAGTATTACATTAGGATAAACTTTATATTGGTTCTCACTTATGCAACTTTTGGCTGGAAGTGGTGTTGATTAACCACAATGTAGAAACCTACTCTTGAATTCTGATGACTTATTTAGTTGTGCATTCACATTGCTCACCTGACTTATGATTTGTTCTCCACATTTCATCAGTTCACTATTGAGTCTTTCCTTGCGTAGCAGTTATGGATATAGAATGAATTTTTTCTCATTCTCAGTAAATGGGTGAGAGTGAGGTCAACATTAACTCGTGGGATTGTTTTCATTGAGATGGGGTGACACCTAGGTCACTTTGTAGTCCAGTATCATTGCGGACTATATACTTGCGTGACTGATGATAGCACTTATTTTGCCTTTTACTTATAACTGGACATGCCGTTGGTGAATGTTTAGTTTCACCTGATTTGGATGAAATATATGTTGTGACCTGCGAAGTTAATAATTAATTTTGCTTTGTGTGTGGAGTGAACCAGTCTTTTGGTCATCTGAGCTGCTGCATTTTCTTTGATATTTAGTGAGTTTGCAGTTTAGCTATTTCCAGTTCTCTTGCATGAGTTTTGGTTGAATGCTTGGTAGTTTTCCAGTTCTTCATAGTCTGAAGATATTTGTTGCATGTTTATCTGCGTGTGATTCTATGTCAATCTTATCTTCGAGTTGCTATTCATATGTCAATCTTATCTTCGAATTGCTATTCACAGTCCCTGAATTCTGTGTTAGATTATATTAGTTGCCTCGTTCTTGCCCAATGTGCCATTGTCGCTTCAATATATAATATTGTTTTTGTTGACTTTAGCTTCTTCTTTTGATAGGTTATGGTGGCTGTGGAGGCAAACACTCTAGACACAAAGACTGTTGTTGGCTTTAGTGAAATTGTTGACCAATTTTATGGTGTTTCTCAAAATTCAAACCAAGACAAGGTCACAGCGCGACTGCTTTTTTTTGAGTCTGAAGTAATGTATCTTCTAAACCGTAGAAAGATCCAAAGGCTTGCTGTTTCTCAACATTGTAATATCAATATATATACTTCAGGTTTTATGTTCTGCCATCTCTTGCATTTAGTGTGATTTTTTTCATTGTTTTCTCAAGACTTGAACCATTTTCCAGAATGTGGTTTTTAAAATGCCCGTTGAAACTTTTATTATATGCGTGTTCCTATTTTATTCATTGTGTTTTGTCCCATCATCCTCACTGTCTATTCTCTTTCATAATTTTGTAGGTTTTCCATCATGTGATATATTCGAGAATGATATTATTGTTGGTGTAGAAGGCAAGCATCATGACGTATGTACAACACTCGTGGAGATGCTTTCTGTGGTCTATGATGAGTTCCGATATGACAAGAGCCGCATACATTCTATGGAAATGATGGTAAGATCCTTTTGCCTTTTGAAAAAATCTGATTTGTTTGCACAATCGACTCAAATCAACTCATTGTTTTACTCAGATGCGCGATCTCCCAACCAGTGGATTACTTCATGAAGTGCAAATCTATGGAAAAAGCGCGCCAAAGATGATGGCTTCATATGAAGACGGAAAGGAGATGATGCCTATAGATTATCATTTCATAGGCAAGGTTAATGCTTCTTCTATGGTTTCTAGTTCTTAGCACTGATTCTCTCTCTCTCTCTCACACACACACACACACTCTCTCTCTCCTGTTTATACATATATATGTATTGAGGTTGCAAGAGCTTTAATTATGTAAATGTTATATCAAAAATTTTCAGTCATACATTAGAGTGCATTTTCCACTGGGCTATGCCAATCTATTGACTCGAGAAGAAGGTAAATTAATAAACAGTATTCGTGGCCCACTGAATGCTGAATTTGAAGTCAGTCTGACATATTATGGATGCACCGAGTCCATGAAGTTCATCATTTTCGGGAAGTCCATGAGTGTAGCTAGAGATGCTTTGGAGACGTTTGTGGTAAAGTTTCTTACTCGTTTCTCTCCTAAGTTAATTTGTTTCTTAATACCTATTACTCTCTCTGTCCCAATTCTTTGTCCAGTTTTGGGGCAGTGACCTAGTTCATTGTTTGTTCATATATCTCTGTGCAATTTAATGTGTACTTGTTAAACTACTTGTATTTGGATTGATATTAAAAGTACTCTTGTTTTAAATTGCACATGAATATATGAACGAAGTACTAAGTTGATCACTGGTAGCTCCAAGAAATGTTGTAATTTGTGAGGTCCTCAAATTGTATAGCATCACACCTTGCAGAAAGAGCTAAGAGATATGGGTGATGTTCAAGCTCTGGAACTGGCTGATATTGTGGAAAACAGGGGGTTTATTAGCCATGGTTGGTTTGACTTAAATGGGATTTGGGGCTCAGATGACGATGATGACTGTTGGTGGTAATTATTGTATGCTAACATGATGTTTCGTCACTATTAAGATATTTTGATACATTGCGAGTATGCTAACAACATTTTAACCCATGTATGTGTAAATTAAGATTTGTCCTAATGTTGTGTCTGCCAATTAAATGTTAATTTGTTTAGACCATATCACCTACCCATGAGGCATGTAATGATTCTGTTGTATTGATATAAAAATGTGTTCGGTTGGTTAGGGAAGGTGCACTTGATAAACGTGCAATCTTTGTGTTGCTCAAGAAAAACCACCAAACTCAATAGGTGTGAGAGGATTACTTGGGCTAAGGCTGCGTTTCCTTCACTAATTTCATCTATAGTGTGTTCTAGTGAATCCACATTTGGTGACACTAGCAGTGCGACTGTCATTTTGGGGTACTTTCGGTGTTTCGTTCGTAAAATTTACGGCTTTTACCCTCCCTAACCCACCCATAAACCTCCCACCCTACCTCCGTCTCTACACCCTCGCCCCAACCCCGCCGTAAGCCCTTCACAAAATGTGTGGCTATTATGCAATTTGTGGGGGGCTTACGGTGGGGGTGTAGGGACGGGGTAGGGTGGGGGGTTAGGGGGTGGGTTAGGAAGGGTAAGAGCCGTCAATTTTACGAACGGAACACTGGAAGTGTCCCATAATGATAGTGGCACTGGAGTGTCATCGTACTTCGGTGTCACTAGAACCCCTCCGATAATCTAATTTGATTTTTTTAAGAAGTGGTTTGATTATAGTTATAATTAAATTTGTTTCTGATCTGATTATAGTAGGAATAATTAATAAGCAGAAAAAATAAATTGAACGGAACACAATCTAAGACACCACAAATGTTCCTTATAGTGGCTTATTGTGTACTACCGCATACTTATGATTAAATTATTATGGGCTAACATTTGGTAGGGGTTGAGAATGCACTTAATGACGTTACAGATTGTAGTGAAAGAAAGTGCATTCTCAACCTTTTTAAAGAAATGCAAAAAAGTATTGCCCCACAGTCCCACACTTTCTTTCACTACGATCTGTAACGTTATTATAGGGTTTAACTAATATTTTAACTCGTGTCACGCACGGGGCCCACACTAGTTGACCATCAGAAGTACGAGATGAATTTACAACAAAAAGAACTAAGGGTAAGTTTGGAAATAACATCAGAAATTAATGTTAGCATGATAACTATTTGTTTGGAAAGTTTTGTTAAATACTCCGTAATTTCTTTTCTTTCTCATTCTCATGATAACTATTTGTTTTTTTAATAATCGATAATTTATAATAATTGAATAATAAACTATTCTACATAATAGAGCTAATTTATTTACTTCATAACTTATTATTGTTTTTGTAAGTTGTAATTATTTTTCTTGAGCGACACTTCGAATTGTTTTTTGATATCATACTACTATTATATTTTAACTCTATATAATTTTTTTTCAAAACAACATTATAACAATTAAAACGATACAATAGTTTTTCTCTGAAATAGAACTTTCAATTTTATGATGCACTACATTTTTTGTTGTATTACAATTTTATAATACAATGTTGATTGATATTTTTTTACTACCAGTATCATTTTTTCTAGAATGGAACTATCCAACTTATGATTCTTTTCGATAATTTAGAATAATAATTTAAAAGTTGTGAAAATAGAAGAATATTTCTTTCCTCCAAGATGACACTAATTGATTTTATAACACACTACCATTATTTGTATTACAATTTTTTTTTCAAGCAATGCTCTGAATTATTTTTTTATAATCCAGTATTACATTTTCCCCCGAACATTAAACAAAATTTGTAATCTCTAATATTTTTAAAAAAAATTAAGACAAATCTCTAACAAAAAAATATGTTGTTTATTTTAAAAATAGAAATTTTAAACTAAAATTAAAAAAAATTAAATTTGCCAAAAAGAATCAATTTTCATTTATTAGCAAAACATGCATTTTTCAAAACTGCGTTAACTGATTGTTAGTTAACTCGCATACATGTAGAAAGGTAGAATTATTTTCGGTGAGAGTAAAAAGTATGATTATTTTTTAAAAACGTAAGAAGATGATATTATTTGAGATAATTTTTCCCTTTTATTATAAATTGGATAAATTATGACAAAGGAAAATCTTTTTATTACATATTATATTTTACAGTTTTAGAATCCCCATTGGGGATGCTCTAAGGTAGCTAAGATAAGTATCAATTTTATTCAACTTATTACTTAGGGGCTGTTTGGCAACTTCAAAATAGGTAAGTGCTGAATCAGTAAGAGGTATTAACCATTAAGTGCTGAATCAGTAAGTAAGTCACGTTCTCTTTTGTTTTATGAATTGCCTAGTTAGGAGAATTAAAAACAGAACGAAAGCTAAGGTTTCTGTTATGGAGACCCCACACACACTTACAATCTTCAACAATGGAATTGAAATAATACCAATCATAACTTTTTGTTTCTACCCATGAGATAAGAACTTCTTGCAGTTTGTCATTTTTTTTAAATTAAAAATCATAAAATTTTCAATATCAATGAATTTGGGCAGAAATTTTAAATCCGCAACTAATCACACAAAAATCTTAAATGACTTTTATGAAATTCTTAATTGAATACCTACTACGAGTAACTTTTGAAATACAAAAACATTCTATAAACTCGAATAAATATTTGGGTTTCACCCATAAAACCAAAATGTAATTAAGTCCCATTGAGTTCCGATTTCACCTTTGGAGATTAGATTAGGGATAAATTGTTACCCAAATTAGAGTGTGCTTCCATAACACTGTGAATATTTTCACATTTTCATGGGTCAACATTAAAATATTTTATTTTTTCAAAGAACCTAATTCATTAATGGTATTTATAAATTAATGTTCATAAAATGAGTATGAACTTGTTGACAGAAGAATTTGCCCTCAAATTAATGGTTGCTTCAACAAAAGTCCATTACAAAACAAAGAAGCAACATAATGGTAGTTTAGTCAGCTGAAATTACTTTAAGGCACTCTCGATTTTTTCATAAGAACTTTAAGTCAGTCACATGCTTTTCACTCTTACTTTTTACGTTCCGAAAAAAGAGACACCAAACTTAAAGACACTCAAGCACCATCCCTTGTGCCATGCTGCCACCTTTGAATGTTGCTGATAAAGATTGTTACCAATCACTTGAATGTTGCTTACAAAAGTTGGTACTTTGGGCATAAATTTGATAGAATAATACTAGAGTATCATCACATGGATGTTAACATGAATACGCTCATATTTTGCACAAATGATTACCATTTGTGTTGTCTGTACGAAGTATGGTACACCCATGTAGCACTCATGTGGCAACACTCTAACATAACCCTTGTTGATATTTGATTATGTAATTTACACATTCATCTAAGTGCATTGCTATATCCGCCCCAATTTTGATTATATCCATTCCATTAATGTTAAATTGATAATTTGACCTTAAAAATATAGAAGAGAGAAATTTGATGCAATGTCACTTTTATAGAAAAATTATCCATTTAATATAAAAGGAGTAAATATAGCTAAGGGGCTGTTTGTTTCAGCCTCTTAATGGTTCAGATGTCTGAATGGTTCAGAACTTAATAGTTCAGACTGTTTGTTTCAACCTCTTAATGGTTCAGATGTCTGAATGGTTAAGACATTTACCTCTGAATGGTTAAGTATTATACAGAGTCTGAATGGTTAAGACCTGTTATCTGAATTGATCAAACATTTGCCTCTGAATAGTTAAGCAATATACTAGCTCTTAATGGTTCAAACCTCTTATTGGTTCAGCACTTAATGGTTCAGACCTCTTACTGGTTCAGCACTTACCTATTCAGAAGTTGCCAAACAACCCCTAAAACGAGGGTGCATATAGAATTTATCTAGAGTGCTTATTTGATGTTTACCTCTCGACTTTGATACAGTGCAATACTATTAGTAAAACCTAAGGGCCTGTTTGGGGAGAAAGCATATACTCTTTGCGTCTCTAAAATCTTGTCATAATTATTAATTACTACTAATTCCGGAAACCATTTTCAACCTTTGACATATAATGAAATAAAATATATATTATATAATAATTAGATAAAATAGTATTTTGAAATATTTGATATAAAAATCAAATAAAACTATTTTGGTATCAATATTTAATATCATTTTTATTTAATTTAAGGTCGAAATTTACTAATTTTGACCAGAAAAATCAAAAGTGGACAAATACTCAGTGACAGGAAGGAGTATTTTAGTGTAATATATACCTCTTACTTTTATACAATTTGTAAATAAAATAATTTAAAAATGATAAGGTTTCGCACGTTATTCATACAGAATTTTATAAACAAAATAAATACGGAGTACTAGGTACTAATTTTGATATCTAATAAAAATAAAAAAAATAAATAAAAAATCAAATAAAAATAAATGGTAAAGAAACATGTGATGTACATTTGGGGTAGATTTTGTACCCCTAGCATAAAGTTCCAAAGATATATGTTTGGAGAAGGTAAAAAAACTAGAATACAAATTTGGAGATATGTAAAGTCTATAAAACAGCGGAAAATTACTCGCAGGTGACGCGAGTTTTGTTGAAATAGCTCTCAGGTCCCTCTATTTTCAAGAAGGCAGCAGAGGTCCTTACATTTTGTTGTAATGACTGAGAGGGGACATTTCATCCAATACATCATTCGTAAGTGTTAATAAATGTATTTTTTTCCTATTTTTTGAATACCGTTTTTCCTATTTTGCCATTACCTTGTTATTTCTTTTTTTAGAATTTTTTTATTTCATTTGTTTTAATATAATATAAAAAATTTTGAATTTTTATATGATTTTATAGGAGAAATTTTAAAATAACACTTTAAAAAATAGTAAAATGAAAAAGGAGCGACCTAAGATTTATTATCTTAAAACATTTAGAAAAGAATAGAAAAAAATACATTTATTAACGTTTATAGATGAAATATTGGATGAAATGTCCCCTTCTAGTTGTTACAACAAAATGTAAGGACCTCACTAATTTTCACTGGCGTCACCCATGAGTAATTTTCTGCTTTCCTTCACTAATCATGATTGTAGCAACATTTCACACATTGTCTTTGGATGAATTCATCTACATTGTGGGAGGTGTGACAACTTATATAGCCGAAGAGCGTCCTTTCAACTTCCATGGACTCCAATCTCAGTCCCCCCGTATCCAACCAGACATTGTACTTCGGTGGTTCTCGTATTGATTCATCTGATAAGGCTGCAGTGTGGTGCCCGGCTCCCGTCTTCATCAACGATCAAGCTCTTTCTTCTGCGTATGTTAGCTTTCTTGGCAAGATTTACTCATTTGGATGTGCATGCCTAAACCTTGAGGTTCTTGACCCTGCCGCCGCTGTGGGCTACCCCAATCCAATCTGCCCTCTTTCCATCCCTGAAGACCTTGTGGGTTGCAGTGTGTCTATTCCTGTACTGCCCGACCCTTCTAAGAATCGCATTCTTGTGCGCTTGCATGGTGGTCAGCTTTCTTCTCCTTCGCTGTATGCTTTCACTCCTGATATTGATGGTAATGGGACATGGACGTTACTCATCCGTGATTTCTCATTTTGGGCGAGAACTCTCGCGCTTGTTGATGACGTCATATACTTTCACTCACATAAATTCCCATCTCTTCTTCGCGCTTTTCACATAGCCGAGGAAAAATGGTTGGAAGTCTGCTGGGATTCATGCTTTAAGGGCAACGTTAATTTTAATGTCAACAGGAAGCACTTTGATGCATTGCTTCATTTGGGTGGAAATATTTTGTGCTTTGCTGCTTGGACACACATATATCCGGAGCCTATTGTGTATCCTGATTCTCTTAGTGTTGAGTTTTACAAGTTCAAAGTACTTCAAGACCCTGATGGAACCATAAGATTCCATGCATGTGACTCCTACTCGTATGAACTTCCTGAGAATGAGATTGTGCTTTCGTTCATCTCTGCCTAACAGGTACTCTCTTGCATTTCACCATCTGTTATACATCCAATTGTCCTGTTGCATTTCATCTTATGTAATGATTTTATAGGTGTAATGTGAACATAATACTATATTTTCACACCGAATTGCAAAAAACCGTATTATACCAGTTTAAAATGCCTCTGATTTGGTTGAAATTTGTGTTATCTCCTTCAGTTTAGTAATTACCCAAATTTCATTTTTCTTTTTAGTTTGTTTTAGCAAAATAAAAATCTAAAATTATTCTATTGATATATAGTAATTTATTGATAGAGTTGTCAACAACTTTATTCATCTTAGTAGATTTTTATTCTCTTTGTTAGTTTGTTGGTCTTGAAGATTGGAGGACATTGATTTCTTATGCACTCATCTTTATGTTTGTTCATTTACTACCTCTAAACTTAATTTTGTTATGCTAATGGTATTTCATCTTTTATATATATGGTTATCTTTAGTGATATAGATATATTTATTTGAACAAAGTTATTAGTTACTATTACTTGTCAACTAAACAAGAACTTGTCAGCTAACTCATCGACTAGTCGACGTGATAGCCATGGTTCCAAAATGGCTCAGGTTAGATTTACCTTACATTAAAGACAGATTTTACCCCACATATAATGATGTTTATGTAGGTATACCTTAATTGAATGGAGCTTGTGGCGTTTGAGTCATATTGCTTGTTGGCAACTTGGCTTTTCCATGTTGTTTGTCTCATGATGTTGATTTTTGATTGATGATGTGTTTGTCCTTTGTTTACCTGATTGGTGGTTGTTTCATGTTTTAAGTCATGTAGATCTCTTCACTTTGTCCTGTCAAGTGCCAAGTGTGGGAGCCATTTTGCGTGTGATAGCTCCTATTGTTCAACATTTTCTTAACATGCTACGTCTTGGATGCTGCTGCTATGCCCTGAATTTGTTAAAGATAGTTGAGTTTCTATACAAGGCTTCTTCGAATAACTCGGCAACTCTTTTTACCCATAATTGCAGGTGGGGCTGAAGAAAACTAAGCCAAAAGAACGATGACAGTTTAAGGTACGACTTTTTGCCAAAAAAATGTTAAGAATAGTGGCGTGATGCATAATTATTTTGTTCTTTTTGGATTGATAACACAGAGACATTGCATTGAGGTAATTATATGTGTTTCACTTGACGATTATTACCTGTCTTGGTCTTGAGGAATAGCATGGTGGGGATGATTAAAGTTAGTTATATAGTTTAGTAATTGAGATATAATGGCTCAATTTTCCATCATCTTTCAATTATTGATTCATTCATTGAGCATTGTTCCAAGAGAAGAAAAAATAAAACTGGGAGTAGAACATAATTGAACGGAAGAGAGTATGTATATAATTGCTAGATTGATCAGTGTCATTTGCAAATAATTCCCCCTCTAGTTATAGTACACAAAAAAAGGATGTACATTACAAGTAATTGCCATCCCTAGTCTTCCTCCACAATCTTGGCGATGGAGCAAGTGACACATCATCATCTTGAAGAATCTCTCTTTGCCACGAGCGCAATCAACTAGCACTGACTCCTTCGTTGGTCCACATACTTCTGCAAAATGTAGAGCCAATATGTTCAAACACGCATGCTACGCGTTGCATGTAGCTTTCTTTTTAAAGAAATCGTATTAAATTTAAATAGAAGAAACAATGAATCCTAGAGGTGAACCAACCTACTCCTTAACACTCTCGGTGGAATATGCATGAAACATGCACAAGCAAGTTTGCATGCAACCAGATTAGCAGACTTGAAAACAAAATGAAAGCTAAGGTCTTTGTTACAATGACACCACACACTTAAAATCTTTAATAATGGAATTGAAATAAGACCAATCATGACTTTTTGTTTCTACCAATGAGGTTAGAACTTCTCGCAGTTTGTCATTTTTTTAAAATTAAAAATCATAGAATTTTCATCAATGAATTTGGGCAGGAATTTTCGTAAATATCAATGAAATTTGGGCAGAAAATTTAAATTCGCAACTAATCACACAACTATCTTAAATGACTTCTATGTAATTCTTAATTGAACACCTACTACAAGTAACTTTTGAAATACAAAATCATTCTATAAACTCGAATAACTATTTGGGTTCCACCCATGAAATCATAATGTAATTAAGTCCCATTGAGTTCCAATTTCACCTTTAGAGATTAGATTAGGGATAAAGCATTACCCAAATTAGAGTGTGCTACCATAAAACTATGAATATTTTTACATTTTCATGGGTCAATATAAAAATCTTTTATTTTTTTCAAAGAACCTAATTCATTAATGGTATTTATAAGAAATTAACGTTCATAAAATGAGTATGAACTTTAAGATGATAGAGAATTTGCCCCCAAATTAATGGTTGCTTCAACAAAAAATTCATTACAAAATAAAGAAGCAACAAAATGGTAGTTTAGTCACCTGACAAGCCTAAAATTACTTTAAGGCACTCTCGATTTTCTCATAAGAACTTTAAGTCAGTCCCATACTTTTCACTCTTACTTTTTACGTTCCGAAAAAAGAAATACCAAACTTAAGACACTCAAGCACCATCCCTTGTGCCATGCTTCCACCTTTGAATGTTGCTGATAAAGATTGTTAGCACTCACTTGAATGTTGCTTACAAAAGTTGGTACTTTGGGTACAAATTTGATAGAATAATACTAGAATGCCATCACATGGATGTTACCATGAGTAGGAGTGTTCATATATAGGTCTGGACCGGAAAAACTGACCGAATCGGATCGATCGGTCCAGACCGAACCCGATCCGAAAGGATTTTGGGTCAGTCTTCGGTCCGAAGTATTTAAAATTTTGGGTTTCCGTCCGGTCCTGTCATTACCCGACTTCCATTCGGTCCGGACCCAGATAGACCCATAACGTCGGACCGAGATAGATCGCCGAGAGCCTGAGACGCGGACTCCCTCAATCCCAATTAGGGCTGTTCAAAATTATCCGACCCGAAGAATCCGTCCATGATCCGGTGTGATCCGTTCCGAAAAATAGATATCCAATCCGATTTATTTTGTTTTCAGATATTCGGATCGGATATCTGAAAAGTTTCGGATCGGATATGGATCTAAATTTCAATATTTTCGGATAATCGGATATCTGATTTTTTTTTTTTTTACCCTAAGCCACAAGCCACTATGCCTAATTCTACCCTAATCCATACCTTCCGTCTATCACCCAAACACGAGACAGTGAGACACCCACCCAACCATCACTCCATCCGCCGTTTTCACCTTCTCTCTGACTCTCTGTTGTGTGAAATAGCAGACGCAAGCTTCCGACAGGCTAATAGAAGACGCGATCTTCTTCAGTCTTCTTCGACCTCATCCCGATCTCAGATAGGAGTACAGAACAGTAGAGATGCAGGCTTCCGATAGCAACACAGTTCCGATTAACCTTCCGATAGCAAGGTTAATTTTTTCTTTAATTTTGATTGTGTTGAAAACCTCATTTTCTAATATAACCGTGTTGATGCTGTAATTTAATTCAAATATATCTTCCCCCCTGTTGGTTCTATGGCATATGTTATCTGTGTCCTTTTTGTATGTCATTTTCTAGATGAGCATTATGTGAGTGATAATTATGAAATTGAATTGTGCTTTCTGCACCCGGAGTTCAACAGAGATGGCTTTAATTTTTTTGTAAATTGTCACAAAAGTTAAACTTTTTCGGATATTCCATTGATCCGATCCGAAATTTCGGATATCCGAATATTTTCGGATCGGATATGGAATGAATTTTACTTGATCCGAACTTTTCGGGTATCCGACATTGCGGATCGGATCGGATCGGATAGATCCGATTAAGCACCCCTAATCCCAATTGAATCAGGTACGACTCATCTCGTCTACCTCGTCTCCTTCTCTGTAATCCCTACTCCCTAGTCTCCTTCTCTATTAGGTTTTTGGCTTTTTACTTGTTAAATCATTTCCATGCTATTTGTAGGGCTTAGCCAAATTGTATTATTCTTAGACTTTGTTTCCATATAACATTTGAAACTTTTAAATTTGGAATAGGGTTTAGCCAAATTGTATTATTCTTAGACTTTATTCATAGACTTTGTTTCCAATTATTCCCTGATTGTCAATGGTTTAAAAAACAGCAATGTATTTTTTTTAAAAAATAATTTGAGAGTTCTCTGATTTTTAAGTTGCAAAAAATCAGCAATGTCAATGGTTTAAAAAAACAGAAATGTACTTTTAAGAAGGCTACATGAGAGATTGACAGCACTTATTGGACCAAATACTGGAGTTTAGAGTGTTCTCTGCAGCATTTTTAAGCTGCACAGCTGATTTTTTTTAAGATGCACAACTGATTTTTAATATATTTTCTTCTTTTAATAATCCCTTGCATTTTGTATTACATTGCAGTTTACATGAGTGCGCTCATATTTTGCACAAATGATTACCATTTGTGTTGTCTGTACGGAGCATGGGTACACCCATGGTAGCACTCATGTGGCGGCACCCTAGCATGACCCTTGTTGATATTTGATTATGTAATTCACAAATTCACCTAAGTGCATTGATATATCCGCCCCAATTTTGATTATATCCATTCCATTAAGATTTATTACTCTATTTGGTTAACGAGTTAATTAATAGTGGTCGGGTAGAAGAAGCTCAAACTTTACTTGGTGCACCATTTCCCCCCGTACTCGGTGTTCCTGTCATGGAACTCAAGATGAAATTATATCGCCATCAAGGGAATACGGTCGGGAAGTTAATTTTACTATCACTTATTGTTGGTTGGTTGTTGTAGAGTTTCAGAAGGTTTATTGGGCGTGGAAAGCCCATCGCAAAGTAACATATACAGAAACTGCTCAAATGTTGGGGTAAGTTTTGTATTTTTTTCATTTTGCCTCCTTTCTACGATTCTAAACCTTGGTTGATTGTATGTCCTAGCAACGATGTTGTTTTGGTCGGTGGTTAAGATTGTAGTGATATCTCAGATTTTAAGAAATTGTTGTTTAGTCTATCTTAGCGGGTGTGGTGGATTTTGCTGCAAGGCGTGAGCTTGCCTTAATAAGGGGCATTTGAAAAAAAGGAGCTAAGGATGATAAAAGTTCTGATTCTTTTTAATTATTTTCTTTCCAGGTTTAGGAAGATGGATGATGGTCGTTGGACCCGAGATGCAACACATGCAACACTGGCAGGAAGCAGGAACCTCATGAAGCACCACAAGAAGCACCTCTGGAAGCAACACAAGAAGCCCCTCAGTAAGCAACACAAGAAGCCCCTCAGTAAGCAACACAAGAAGCACCACATGAGCGAATTGAAGAAACCGGAGAACATGGTAAGGTTTTATTGAAATTCTATTAATTAGATTTTCTACCATGGGTTACCGCTCTTCAACTTCCGTGCAACCTACATCTGCTTTATCAAAATTGTTTCATCATAAATATTTTTGTCAGTTTGCAACATGCCATAAATTATTGTTACGCGTCAATCAATTCCCCCTCCTACCCTAGCCATGTACCATTATATTCTGTTTCTATTCACCCAAATCAACTAAAAAGTGCAATCCACATCCAACCATACACATTCCACATTTGAATTCGAACAACTCCATTTTTAGCTTCACATAGCACACACTATATATGCTGAAGTTGGAGACTAATTTACTAAGTTCTTATAATCTGAATTTAAGGAAACAAATGCATGAGAGTGGATTTTGTCTTACAATGCATATTTGTAGTTCATTCTTTTCAATTTACATTTTAAATACAAATGACATTTTGACTTCATGAAATCATGATACTTGGTTAAGATAATTCTACAGTTTTAGAAATTTCCAGTTAACATTTTAAAAACGAGAATTTGCTAATTACTCCCTCCGTCTCGGAGTATTCGTCCAGTTTTGACTTTTGGAACTGTCCACCTAAGCACTTGACTCATCAAATTCTCTCAATGTGTAAGTCTAAATATAGTCATGTGTGATCTTGTTTGATTTGTCTTAACATATAGATTATTAATATATAATTTCTATAATTTTTTAATATACAAATTACAAGATAAAATGGATTAAAAAAGTATATTGGATGGTGTGTAAAAATGAAAGTGGACAAATACTCTGGGACGGAGGTAGTACCAATTAATAAAGTTCTTGCATAACAATGCCTAGATTTGAGGAATTCATATTTCTAGATTATTTATTTTGCTTGGTTTGTGACCATCAAAATAGAATAACTTTTGGCTCATGAAAATGTAAGGGTCGTCACTCTGCCAAGAAGAGCCAAGGAACACGAAAAGCGCAAGGAAAGTGTAGGTGAAGTCATCCAGATTGCCATGGTGGAGGAAGATGAAGGTTATTGTAAGCGGTTTGGAGAGAGAAGTCGCGGAGGGAAGCGGATCAGCCTTGGCTTTGGTCAAGGAAAAAGGCATTCAAGGGTAAGATCCTCCTATTTTGGAATTTATGTATAGTAGTTGTCTTTAGTTTAGAACATGTATGGGATGAGAGAAACATGGTGTTCAGGATTTACTAGGGTTCTACTTTCACTTAATTTCGATAATTATTTTTCAATTTTATTTAATATTAATATTAAAATTAAAATTGTTGTGCAAAAAGTTATAAGCACTTTAGCTTAGAGTGGTAAAGTAGTGCTCTTTGTTTTATGCTTGTAGTGTACAGATTCGAGCTAGTTAGATTGGTGGAATAAGCTTTTTGACAACTTTGTTTCGTTTGCAGTTTCAAATTTGTCTTGATATTACAGTGGAGGAGCTAGATGACAAATCTTACATAGGGTCTACATAGACTAACACTACGAATGTAAGAAAGTGTTTCATTGTTGGACAACAGCCTCATATCGAGCACATTGAAGGCCTCATTGACCTCTGTCTCACTCATATGAATTTGGTTAAAATTGATCAAAGTTTGCGTATTATGGATGATGAGAGACGAGTTCTTATGACAAGCATAAGTTGAGTGCACTTCTTCCCGAATTTGTAAACTCAAATGAAGTTTGGTGGAGAACTATCGAAGTAGTTTTTTGGAAAGTATTCAGGTGAAAGTTGATTTCTTGTTTTAGTTTTTGTTGTTCGGATATAATGATATTTCACTGTTTTTAAAATATTGTTTTCTTTTGTTGAAATATAGGGGGATTGTTCGAGGGCTTATGCATTTGTTTGTAAAAGGCACATCATGAGGTGATGTTGCATTCTGCTCCTTTGTTACTTCAGAAGGAGAAGGGCGAATTCTTCCCTCGATGGAAAAAAAGAAACAGATGGCAGATTTAGTTCAGTTGGCAGATTTGATGAATAGTGTAATCAGGCTTTGTGTTTCTTCGGATAGTGATCTAGCTTTCCTCCCTAGCGAGTTGAAACATTTCTTTTGGATGATTGCATATTTTAAATATGATAAGAGGTATGTAACATCGTAAGGTTGATACACATCTCTCATTTATATGACTATAAACGGCACAAACAAAGAACACAATGTCAACAGGACCTTTGTAGTCACGTTTGCGACATCCATTCTTGGTATAAATTGCCCAGTAGATGTCGGCCAACATCATCCACCATTTGCACCAAGAATGGATGTCGCAAACGTGACTACAAAAGTCCTGTTGACATTGTGTTCTATGTTTGTACCGTTTATAGTCATATAAATGAGCGATGTGTATCAACCTTACGATGTTACATACCTATTATCATATTTAAAGTATGCAATTATCCAAAAGAAATGTTTCAACTCACTAGGGAGGAAAGCTAGGAAGGAACACAAAGCCTGATTACACTATTCATCAAATCTACGAACTGAACTAAACCTGCCATCTGTTTCTTTTTTTTTATCGAGGGAAGAATTCGCCCTTCTCCTTCTGAAGTAACAAAGGAGCAGAATGCAACATCACCTAATGATGTGCCTTTTACAAACAAATGCATAAGCCCTCGAACAATCCCCCTATATTTCAACAAAAGAAAACAATATTTTAAAAACAGTGAAATATTATTATATTCGAACAACAAAAACTAAAACAAGAAATCAACTTTCACCTGAATACTTTCCAAAAAACTATTTCGATAGTTCTCCACCAAACTTCATTTGAGTTTACAAATTCGGGAAGAAGTGCACTCAACTTATGCCTAAAAAAGCATTCGACACTGCACACACTTTTGCTTGTCATAAGAACTCGTCTCTCATCATCCATAATACGCAAACTTTGATCAATTTTAACCAAATTCATATGGGTGAGACAGAGGTCAATGAGGCCTTCAATGTGCTCGATATGAGGCTATTATTATATCCGAACACATGATATGTTTTTTACAAACAAATGCATAAGCCCTCGAACAATCCCCTATATTTCAACAAAAGAAAACAATTTTAAAAACAGTGAAAGATTATTATATCCAGACAACAGAAACTAAAACAAGAAATCAACTTTCACCTGAGTACAAAATTGCTCGGGCCGGCAAGGTTTGATCTCTTTCTCCATTTCTTTTTATGATTATAATTATTGTTGTTGTTATTATATAAATAATGATAATAATAATAATAATTATTATTATTTTAAATGAGTTCGTATTTTATAAGTCAAAAGAAAGCCTGGGAGACTAGAACAGTACAGATTAGATCATTTTTAGTCTAAAAAAGCGAACGTAGCTACAAGCCTGTTAAGTACCATATGATGCATTGGTCTGAGCAAATCAAAGCTTATCATTAGTTCCCTGGGAGCCTTATCGTGCTTGTCACGTGGGGTTGCTAGATTTTGGAATTTGTTATGAGAGGTGACCGGAACCCGGGGACCTAAGAGGTTTGGGGGCCAAGTTGAATATTCCCAGACCTTTGATCAGATTTGAATTGGAGTGCCCTCACTAAAAAGGTTGAGTGGCTTGCGTGTTATTTTTTATGCTCCTACCAGTTGCTATTTGATCCTTTTTTTTCCAGTGTTAGTTATTATCATGTCTTGATTTCCATTCCCTCTCGTCAATGACACAACTTCATTTTTTATGTATAAATTTTTTGAGGAACAAATCGATTCAAAGTTGGTTGAATATTTTCCAGATTATCACATGGACATGTTTTTCCAGTTGTGTATTTGCAGACAAATGAGGTAAGCGAAAAGGCGTGATTTTTTTTTAAAGTTTCTATATTGAACTAATATTTTGAGCTTTTTTTTAAAAACAAAAACTTCTTTTGCAGAATGCTAAACGATGAGGATTTGATGCACATGTCTTCGGTTTATTCTGGAGGTGACTAAAGCTTTGAATTGTACTCATTATTGGTCAACTGTTTTGTTTCTTACAATTTTCTTTTTGTTGTGGGCAGGGGTTTAGTGAAATCAATATAATTGAAGGTACCTTTTTTTTACTCAACTTTTTGGCTTCCTTCAACGCTACCTGATTTGGGAGTGATTACGTTTTTTTAAGCTGTGTTGTATTTTATAATGCTAATATCGAGTAGTGATCACTAAATGTTTAAATCTGGGGGTTGCTTTACTTCTTGGGGTCTCTTGAGAGACCATGTCTTCCACTGAGAAGTGACATTGAATCATGAGTCATGATTATGCAATTTTAGGTGCATCTTTGGAAGTAATTGCTAATATCACACCAATAGTTTTTGCTGAGTGTGGTTCCTTTTTGGCTCCTTGTTTTCCCACTGACTAAAGCTAGAGAAGAAGTAAAAGCACATTCACAAGAGTTTGAGTGCTTGTTCCAGGGACTATGCTTTTACCTAAATGGTCGCTTTTTTGTATTATTTTACCTTCTGATAATTCAATTCTTAGATGAACCTTTTTGCTCTTCTCCTGTACTTCCAGTCCTCAAGCTGGGGGCCTAACACATTGCTTTTGTATTTTTTTTTTTTGTATTTAGGCATTACCCTCATCACTGGATGGTTGGGCAACCGGAGACTGCGTTTGTTTGAGTGATGGAGAATGCAAATTCTAATAACAATATGTTCTTCTGGAGAAGAAATTTGTCCCATGAATTCCTTCTTGATGCTGCTCTCATCTATTAGAGCACAAGCAATGGCGTGCTGTTTTACATCCACACTCTGCCACATAGGATTTGACACGGTTGAATTAGGAGGTTGAATTAGGAGGCATGAAGGGGTAACTCCTTCTGTGGCATGTGCGAGGCATATACTTGCTCCAATTCCTTTTCTTTTTTTTTATTTTGGAAAAAAAGAAGAAATACTTCTTATTTAGTTATTTTTAGACATATTTTTACGATACAAATATATGAAAACTAATTTATAATACGGAGTAATAAATATCTAAAAAAATATAAAAAGTTACAAAAGGCGAAACTTCCATATTGTTTTTTAAATTTTGTTTTTTGGATTTCAAAAAAATTGTTTTCTTCTTACAAGAAAGATGAATTCTTCAGAGTACATTTATTTTTTTGCCTCTCTTTCAGTCTTTCATTTGTTTCTTTTCAACATCAACGTTTTCAAAAGGTGAACCCATTTCAATAGTGTGAACATCAACATCTTCAATGAGATCCATTTTACATAAACTTTCAACAATTTTGCCATCACACCTGTCTTTAAAAACATCATCAGCATTCTTCGTGTTCACCATGGTGTAATTCTATTAAAGAAAACTTATCAAGTGTTCCTCTATAAGATTGTGTAAGTTTTTCAAATCATTTTTTTGTTACTTTTTACGTTTAGCATAGTTTGAACTCATTCATTAGGATTCATTCAACAAGTAAAATATAATAAAATGAGAGAAACAGGTAAGCTTTGATATTTTTATTTTTGATAAAAATAATAGCATCCTATACTAATAAAATTAGAGAAACTTAAATCCTTAATTACCACTCCACCTCACCATAACATTTTCAATCATTCCATGAACCATTTGAGTCAATAAAAAATAGTTGTTTCAAAAAAAAAAGATATGACGTTTGGTAGGGAGGATTGGATCCACGCAAATCTTTTGCAAAAGAGAAACAATGACATCAATGGCGATTGTGGCATCATTTTTTATGCTGCTTGCTGGTGGATCTGGCGGTGGAGAAATGCTATGACGTTTGGTAGGAAGGAGCTTGACGATAGACGAAAGCCATGTTGGATCAAAGAAGCAGTTAAAGAAACTAGCACAGCCTTTGCAAGGCAACAAATGGTGAGCAATTCTACCAATTATACCGATCACCCGCTTAAGTGGAGGATGGCTCAGAATTGTGAATGGACCCTTAACGTTGACGAGAGTTGCAAATCACTTATCAACAAAGCAGGCATTGGCGGAATCCTCCAAAATAGAAGAGGTGTGTGGAAAGGGGGCTTTACGGCTAATGTTAGTCCAAATTATGCGACGTCAGTGAAAGTCATTGCAATTGCTAAAGGCATTGAGTGGGCTTGGAAAAAGGGTGTTAAGGAACTTGAGGTTCAGACAGATGCGAGTGAAGTTATAAAGTGGATGACCGACCACACTTCTCTTAGGGGGCCTAATCGCGATATCATTGAGGAGATTAAGCATAACTGGCAAAGAAAGTTTACAAGGATTGAGTTCAAAAACATCTTTCCAGAGCAAAATTTTGCGGCTGACCGCCTTGCTAAAATTGGAACCTTTTAGGAGGTGAATTGGATTGACCACGAGGACCTTCCGCCTGGGATGGATGACATCATTGCTAATGACATGATGGGTGCTACCAGAGTTTGTAGAGTGCACCTGAGTTAGTTTGGGGTTTCCCCTCCTTTTTTATTTAAAAAAAAAAGGCAATTCATTGGTAATTCTAAATAACTTTAATTTAGATTATTTAACTACATGTTCACTGCCTTAACAAAAGCGCCTGTAGCTCAGTGGATAGAGCGTCTGTTTCCTAAGCAGAAGGTCGTAGGTTCGACCCCTACCTGGCGCGTTATTTTTTCTACCCATTTTTTGCGTTGAAACTCGAATTTATGGGCCTGTTTGGTATTAGCTTTTAAAGGCCCAAACGCTGCGTTTAGGATTTTTTACGTTCTCACCCTCCAGCGTTCTTATCCTTAATTTGGCGTTTGAGATCAATTCTCCTCTTTTACCCATGAAAATTTTAGAGATACCGAATAAAGCCACGATTTGGGGATCACAAAATAGGGTTCTAGAGCAGCTCGATGGAGGTCTCAAATTCTTTGCAAGTAAGTATTTTAGTTTCTTTTACTAATCTGATTTTTGTAGCTCATAGAATTCTTTACTCATGTTTGTAATTTTTTTAAATATATTACCCAGTAGATGATTTGAGTAGTATAGCAGTATAATATAGTCAGTTTTTTTGAAATTTGTATGTTTATTGGATTATTAAACAATTTTTTATGGAAAATTAAAGGATAGGAATTCATTTTCTTCAATTGATTAGGTATAACTCATTCATGATGTCAAATATATAATCACTTTGTTACGGTTAATTGTCAGGTGTGATATACACTATTAGTACTTTGCTTCTCTTTAGTACTTTAAATCATGAGATTCTATTGTTTTTCTTGGCCTTGAAAGATTCTTTTTGAGTTTATATTGCACCTTTGATTGGTATTATGTTTGTTGGACCAAACAGTGGATGTTCACATATGTGAACATATGTACTCTTAGAGTTTCTAAGTGTTGGGACTATTTCCCAAAATTGTCTAGCCCAAGTTGTTTTTTCTAAGGTGCATGAATTAGCATTTGGAAAGACAAATGTGGTTATTAGGAGTTATTGCATTTGGGAGCCTCTTCATTTGTCTTTACGTTGGGAGTTTGGGTTTAATTAATTTAATGCCTTTACTTTTATATTTAAAGCCTTGCATAGGCTTTGGAAAAATTGGTGTGGGGGGCTGGTACGTGCAAGGAAAAAAAAAACAAATCTAGCCATGTGTGCTCTTTTATGAGAGAGGTTGTACAACTTGTTTTTTATACAATATTTTAGGGGTTTTTCTTTGTACCAAAATATTGTATGTGGGTCTAGGATTGGTGTAGTAATCCTTGACGGTTAAGTTGTACTTGCACTATTTTTATAGTGGTGGTTTTACCTCTGTAAAGAGGGTTTTTCCGGTTTCAATAATCTTTCTTGCGGTTTCTTTGTTCTTCGATCGACTACTAGTTTTGTTCCTTCCGCTGTGTGGAAAGTTTTGTGCTAAAATTCCCAACAAAGTGGTATCAGAGCTTTTGAGTTAGGTTCTGGTGGTTCTAGTAGCTTTTGAGGATGTCGAGTTCGGGTTTGGGGTCTCACTTTGCCTTGCCTAAGTTCGATGGAAAGAGTAGCTTCACTCTTTGGCAAAGAAGGATGAAGGATCTTCTTGTGCATTTGGGTTTGTCTAGAGCCCTTAAAGGAGATGAGGCGAAGCCGGAGAAAATGAGTGACAATGACTGGCAGGAGTTGTGCGAGAAGTGTGTCAGTACGATCCGGTTGTGCATTGCAGACTCTGTCGTTAATTGTGTTATTGACGAGGAGTCTCCGGCGGCGATATGGGAGAAGTTGGAAAAGCTGTACATGGCGAAAAGCTTGACCAACAAGCTTCTTTTGAAGAGGCGGTTGTATCGGTTGCGGATGGAGGATGAGGACACCTTGGTTGAACACATGAATGTGTTCAATGGTTTAATAGACGAGCTGAAACGGGTTGATGTTAAAATCAGTGAGGAGGATCAGGCATTGCTTCTTCTTAATTCTCTCCCAGATTCCTATGAGATTTATGTGGATACCATACTGTGCGGCAAGGACACGATTACCTTGGAGCAGGCACAATCAGCTTTGTTGTCGTTTGATGCGAGGAGGAAAGACAAAGCTGGGGTACGGAGTGACGATGCAGTCGCGGCAATTGCTCATGGTGGTGGGAGAGGTCGTTCGTCTATTAGGGACTACAAATCAAAGCACGGAAGGTCTAAGTCCCAGAACGCACCTAAGAACGAGGTGCGTTGTTACAAGTGTGGCGAGCTCGGGCATATTAGGAGGGATTGTCCTAAGAAGCGTGAGGGGAAAAATGATGCCAACTTGGTTCGAGATGGAGAGACTGGTAGTAGTTCTCTCGGAAATGAAAGTGACGAGTTGTTCATGGTGGCTAACGGTCATGATGAAGCTTCCGACAATGATTGGGTGCTTGATTCTGCATGTGTGAGTCACATGTGCTCAAGGAAGGAACATTTTGAGACACTTCAAAAAGGCATGACTAAGGTTTTGAGGTTAGCGGATAACTCGACGGTGGCGGTCATGGGTGTTGGAGTGGTGAAAATGAAAATGTTCGATGGGCTAGTGAGGACTTTCGGTAATGTGGCGTATGTTCCCAAGTTGCAGCGGAATCTCATCTCACTTAGTCAATTGGACTCCGAGGGATACGAGTACAAGGCTCGCGGGGAGTGGTTAGAGTGACTAAGTGTTGAGTGTTACTTCAAAGTCCCACACGGTGGGATAGGAAAATTGAGGAGGGATTGGAGCCTATAAATAAAGAGGGGATATAGGCTTCCATCACACAACACAATCCTTCAATCTATATAATTGTGTATTAGATTTTAGGTTGTGAGTGTCAAATATTAGAGAGGGTTTGTAATTTTTCCGTGCAAAAATTACTAGTGAGATTTTATCCCAGAGGGGGTCGTGGAGTAGGTCTTGAGGTGCCGAACCACGTTAAAAATTGTGTGCTCTTTTTTTCTTTTTCTTTCCATTTGTTTGTAGTGGGGGCCTAACAAGTGGTATCAAAGCCAAGGTGCAGAGCTCGGGTGATCTGGTAATTATAATTCTTAGTATGCTCTGTGGTTGCAGCTTTGACTGATCTTCCACATCAGAAAAGAATTATTAATTACAGAGTTGCAGTCTAGGGAAGAAGGAGATAGAGCAAGGAGCAAGAGGAGGGTGTGCCACTTCAGTGGAGGAGGTGGTGGTCCAGTCAGCAGAGGTGGGTCCGTGAGTGCCACGTCAGCAGTCTGTGGGTCCGAGTGCCAGGTCATCATCCAGTCAGCGCCACATCAGTAGGTCTAGTCATCGTGTGGGTCCCGCTGGTGACTTTCGGAGAGAAGTTGGTTCTGACTAATTTTGACGTCCTCATTCCATTTTTGAGGCCAGTTTCCTCAAATTTGGATTGTTTGGTATTGGTTGATTGCTGCTTCAGTGGAACTATGACTACCTTGAAGTTTGAAGTTCCGTTATTTGATGGAAGAGCGGACTTCGTGTTGTGGCAATGCACGATTCAAGACTATTTGGTCCAGCAAGGTCTTGATTTAGCATTGCAAGATGAGAAGCCAAGTGATATGAAAGAATCAGAGTGGAGTACAATCCAGAAGAAGGCTGTCAGCACAATTCGGTTGGCACTGTCCCCACAGATTAAAGTGACAGTGCTGAAAGAGACATCACCNTGTTAAATGCAGGGGAGACTATCAAGGATGAAGAGCAAGGGCTGCTTCTACTGGCTTCACTACCAAAATCCTTTAAGCCGTTTGTGCAGTCAATGATAGCAGGAAGGACTACACTGCGACTAGATGAGGTGACGACTGCCTTGAAGGAGAGTCAAAGGATGATGGGAGGTGAAGAGTCTTCCGGGGACAGTCATTTACTAGCTGCTGTGAGTGTTGAGAAAGGGAAGAAGAAGAAGAGTGACCAACTTGGGAGAAGATCTCAGCTGAGAGACATGAGCACTGTTAGGTGCTATTACTGTGAAAAGTTGGGTCACACGAAGAACGGTTGTCCAGAACTCAAGGAGGACTTGCAGATCCTAAAGGAGAAGAAGGGCAAATCGAAGGAAGCTTTTTTCGCAAATGTGATCACTTATGAAGATGATCTCCTCTGAAGATAAGAGTACTTCTGGACAGAAGATTCTGCAGGATGGGAGTATCGCTGCAGAAATCGCAAATGATGTAGGACTTTGAATTAAGGGGAGATTTGTTGAGTGTTACTTCAAAGTCCCACATCGGTGGGATAGGAAAATTGAGGAGGGATTGGAGCCTATAAATAAAGAGGGGATATAGGCTTCCATCACACAACACAATCCTTCAATCTATATAATTGTGTATTAGATTTTAGGTTGTGAGTGTCAAATATTGGAGAGGGTTTGTAATTTTTCCGTGCAAAAATTACTAGTGAGATTTTATCCCAGAGGGGGTCGTGGAGTAGGTCTTGAGGTGCCAAACCACGTTAAAAATTGTGTGCTCTTTTTTTCTTTTTCTTTCCATTTGTTTGTAGTGGGGGCCTAACACTAAGGGTAGCACAGTTGTGATCAAGGGGGAGCTAGATCACGGTTTGTATCGTATGGTGGGTCATACGGCTAAAAGCGGCTCAAATCATAAAAGTGGTTGTCGTGTCTCGTTCGTGGATGAGGCTACAATGGTTCATGGCTTCTAGGGTCTTGCCGAACACACTTGGGCTCGAGGGGGAGATTGTTGGGACTATTTCCCAAAATTGTCTAGCCCAAGTTGTTTTTTCTAAGGTGCATGAGTTAGCATTTGGAAAGACAAATGTGGTTATTAGGAGTTATTGCATTTGGGAGCCTCTTCATTTGTCTTTACGTTGGGAGTTTGGGTTTAATTAATTTAATGCCTTTACTTTTATATTTAAAGCCTTGCATAGGCTTTGGAAAAATTGGTGTGGGGGGCTGGTACGTGCAAGGAAAAAAAAACAAATCTAGCCATGTGTGCTCTTTTATGAGAGAGGTTGTACAACTTGTTTTTTTATACAATATTTTAGGGGTTTTTCTTTGTACCAAAATATTGTATGTGGGTCTAGGATTAGTGTAGTAATCCTTGACGGTTAAGTTGTACTTGCACTATTTTTATAGTGGTGGTTTTATCTCTGTAAAGAGGGTTTTTCCGGTTTCAATAATCTTTCTTGCGGTTTCTTTGTTCTTCGATCGACTACTAGTTTTGTTCCTTCCGTTGTGTGGGAAGTTTTGTGCTAAAATTCCCAACACTAAGGTTGCTTACAAGCCTCCATTTAAATAGACTCCATTTTGTAGTCAAGTAATCTCCACTATTTTGTTTGATATTTTTTATTTTTTAAAAGGGTATTTTCAATAGTTTATAGTAGATATCATTTTAAAACCAAAGTATGATTAAAGTATGTTCTGTTTCATCATCTCCTATGTTCTCAACTTCAACAACCATAAAAACTCTTTTCTTGAGATTCTACTGAGCATAATCTTGTGTTTTGAGCAATTGAGCTTATACAATATATATTTGCAGTATGACAGTATCATCTCTTTTTTTCAGTTTGGTCCTTGCCTAGAAGTTAATTTTCCTGGAAAATATGAAGAATGATTCAACTGTAATGTGGTTGGCCTTTGCCTATCTTATTCAGTTCTGGTTTTTACATGTTTTCCCATGCATCATTTTCTAAAGTTTTGAAACCGCACATTTTTTGTGGCATGTGTTGAGGCAGTAGCAAATTCTCTATATTACTTGTTTTCTAGATTTCTAACTTGAGTGACCAATTGAGCATGTACTGAGCATCAAGTGAGTATGATTTTTTTATCTTGTTTTCTTAAATTAATACTCCCTCCGTTCTATAATGATCTTCCCAGAGCACTATTCCAACTTCACGGGAATTTATATTTATTTGTGTTTTTTCATGGCCTATATGATAAAATAAAATATTCTTGTCACCACTTGTTTTGTTGAACTTTTGGTGTAGTTTTTAAATGTGTATGTTTTATTTTTTATTTCTATACCAATATTTAAATAAAATAGATTGAAAAAACTTGGGATTTTTCTTCGTTTTGCGAATCGGGAAGATCATTATAGGACGGAGGGAGTATCTTAAAAAGAAAAGTTGCTTACTTCTTGGCTGAGAAATATATTTGGCATGGGTTGCAATGGCTGCCCCCTAGGACTGCAATTCCTGGCCAAGTGATGTCAAAATTTTCTTGACAGGCACTAAAGTTGCTGTCAAAACTTTAGTACTGAGCATCTAAAGTTTCTTTCTTAGATGGTTCTCTAAACAGTTTCATAGTGGTACACATGTAACTAAATAAGTGCATTAGCAAGTAAATTATGTGAAAAATAAACTACAATTCTTTTTTTAAGGCAATGATTGGATCATGAAAAATAAACTACAATTCTTTTTTTTAAGTTCAATTGTATGTGTTAATCTTATTCATTTGGATTAAAATTTTTATCTTATTATGTCCTCAGTGGTTGAATCCATTTGTTGAGGTTGGATTTTTAAAGATGTTAATACTTCTTCACTCATAATGTTCAATGTCTACCAATACTTTTTAAAGCTCAATTCTCAATCTAGTCAATATCTAAATCTTTTTTAACCAAATTCAATATCTAATTATATCCAAAATTAATTACGTTAAGTTTTTTACATAATGTTCAATTCTTATGGTCTTCTAGAACATGTATTATTTCGGTGTACAATTATTGACTGAAGTTATTTTTTAATTCAATTTATTTCATAATTGGACTTAACTTTTTTTAAAAAACTAACAACAATAATAACACTCTTTGATCCCGAATTGGGTTGTATGAAAGAAGAGGCAAGATCATTATTATTTAATCAAATTGATAACAAAATTAGAAAATTAAATAAATAAAACTTGACTATGTTAATAGTACATATATAACTTAATTTACGACGGAGAGAAAATATTCTTGGTTCATTTATAATTTTATATTCCTTTTTTTATTTACAAAAAATGCATCAATTTTTCTATTCACTCCTAAAACTTATTTTAAAATTTTGCTAACTTAAAAAAATATATTAAAACAATGGGAAAAAAGTGACCCAAATAATATTAAAATCAACAAACTTTTAATATAGGACTACATGTCGAATTGGATAATTTAGTAATTTAGAATACATTAGCTTTTTAAATGAACAGCCAAACGATAAAAAATCAAACAGCTAATCACCAACTTTGATTGAAAAAGCTAATCCCTAACTCTAAACTCTAACACTATGTTTGGCTCAAGGATTTTGGAAGGAAAAGAAAAGAAAATGGTTTTCTCTCATTTTCCTCACCAAAATGGAAGGAATTTGATTTTTCCTTCACTTGGTACATTTTGCCTCCTCATTTTCTTTTCCTTCCACTTTTCCTTTCTTTTCCCTTCTAACCAAACAAGAAAAATGGTTTTCCACCTCATTTTCTTTTCTTTTTTCTTTCAAATTCCTTAAACCAAACATAGTGTAACTCTAAACTCTATTCCAAACAGCCCTAAGTCTAATTCAAAGACAATTTGCTTCGAAACCAGGCCCGGCCAGGCCCACACTTTTATCGGGTCTATCCGGAATAAAACTGACAGTACCGAGCGCGTCTGGAGT